AAAGGTGAACAAAGGAAACTCTTGGCCCTTCCCATACTCCACCTTCTGAGTGTTATCCTTATGATGACTGGATAATCTGCTGAAACCCAGCCTCTAGTTGTGTGTCATTCGCATGTGACCTGGTTCTCATGAGAATTAACTGAGCTCATATGTTTATCTGTTCATATCATGTTCTCAGGCTCAAAGTGTTTTTATTATTCTGTACTGTGTGCACATGTTTTGGCTTCAAACCACCTGCTAGTCTAGTCCTCTTTGTTTTTCATTAGACACTGTTCCCATAAGAAATTTTCACACACTCATCTGTACATTTCTACTTTGACAGTATATCCCATGTATATTCCAACATGTTTTCTGGATAAGGAACAATGTAATAACATTGGGAACAAGGGTCAGTTATTGGAGACCAGGTTAAACTGTTTTTAAATCTGACCCTCACCCACAGATGGGAATGGTAAGAGCATTTTATGGATGTGAAAGTTGAAACAAAAATAGCATTTACTCACCTTATGAATCTTTTGCATAAATAAATAAATAAATAAATATGTACCTCATTTTCAGCCAGATGCTTTTAGAAGGCTTTTAGAGTGTTGCTGAGAAATAAGATTCACACAAAACAATGTGGGTATTTTAAACTGTAAAAGACTAAAAAAACCCCAAAAAAATAGCTGGGGAAAAAATGTTTTAATTTATTTGGAAACATTGGGAAGTATAGGATCAGGGGCTGCTGCTACCACATGTAGCGGCCCCAATTCGGCCATTTGGTGGCCCAGAAAAGAGCGGCAAAATGCCGCTCCTTTCAGAGACGGCAAATAGGGCACCCTAAGAGCCACAGCATGGCTCTTCTGTGCCCCTTCCAGTGCAACATGTATGGATGCAGTACTAGAAGGACGTCTTGATGTCTCACACCATGCATAATGGCACACAGCATCACGACGTCCTCAACGTGGGGTTGGGGCACCCAGTGTGCGGTTGCCCTTCCCCATTCCTGCCTCCCTTTGGGCTGGTCTGTAGAGGCCCAATGTGAATTGCATAAATAAATGCACAAATCAGGAAAAGTACATAAAACAACAAGGCACATTATAGCATGAGGAGAAAACACAAAATCTCCCAACGTGATATGAAATAAGGATAGAGGAAAAAAAGCCAAATGGGATTTGGAGACACTCAATAAAATGGAGAGTACATTTTTCAAATTCATCTACTCCTACACTACTCCAAGGATGTGAATATTTTTGCCACCCAGCACTAGGCAATGGAATACAGCAACTCTCATTTGAATTGTAAAG